GCTAACAATCAACACATACCAAATCGAAAACCGTTAACCGAACCATGTATTTTGTGAACTGTTCCACCCCTAAAGTTCATGCCAGGAAGCAGAACCATGTATTAGAAGAAATTCATGGTAGAATGAATTAAGTCTTTCTAAGTAAATTATTCTCACATTTCAACATCTAAATAAACATAATCATCAGTTAAATACACTTTTTTGTTATTTCTATTAATTGCCTGATCAACAATCCATTGCTTGTCTCAAAGCAGCACATTAACATAAACCTAGAATAAGAATGAATTCCTGCTTCCTGATATCCATTTTCACACGCACCACTAGAAAAATGTTGTTTTCCTGCATAAAAAGGGCTCAGCCATTGGGCTTTAGAGTGGAAACCTCAGATGTCTGCTGTATGTTACAGATGTCAGGAAGCAGAGTGATAACAGAGCCATGAGATCCTCAGGAAAGACAAGCAGACTCACTAAGCTCCCTACAATTACTCTTTTGGTCACAACACAGTCCTTCCTCTGTCTCTCCTCGAGGGGATGGAAATTTCTCATGGCTCTTTTCAAGAGGCTACATAACCAATCTATATGACATCTGGCATGAACAAACGGTTTTCACTGACGGGGATCCTTGTTTCAGTCAACAAACAGCCGCAGAGCACAAGGCGGCTCCTGTCCTCCAACCGTCTGTTTTCACATTTAGTTTACAAAGTTTTTAAAACAGTTATCAAATGAAATGAAAACATTTTTCACAAAGTAAAAGAGTGAATCAATTATAACATGACAAACACATACGACAAGAAATGAGGCAGATTTGAGGTTTGTTACCCGCAGTTTAGCTGTGGTTCATGAATTTTAAAGCAAAAAAAACAAAAACATGTTAAATTTTTTCAAAGTAGTTTTTACAGAAGGTTCAAAAAGCTATTTTCAAAAGGCTGTTTTCAATCACCATTAAACTGTAACAGTGCTGTCCCTTTATCGGGACACCAGAAAAAAAAAAAAACTATCGTCCAGGAAACGCACAGTAGGCTTCATATAAAAACAGAGAGCATCCTCTGAGGGTTGAAGAATGAGGAGGGCTGGAGCTTAACGTGAGAGGAAAACAAGAAGGGTTCGGCCAGAAGGAGCAGTAAACCAAGGAAAGAGGGGACAGAGTTCCTGCGAGGAGCTCCCTCATGAGTACTAATATTCTCACAGCGTACCTCTGTGTCACATTATTAAATCAAAATGTTTACCAGCACTGACAAATGCAAAGGAAAAAGAAGTGGGAAAAGAAAACCCCTAAGAAAGCTGATGTTAGTGGTGACATCTCTATGACAGGCATTCAATGTGAAGAGTTTAACCCAAAACCCTGGACAGACACAGACATTTATACATAAAATAATATAAAGACTTAAAGTTTATTTAACCTTTTGCACTTTCACTATGTGGTGCAGGAAATGACACGCAGAGCATCAACTGAGTATAAATAAAGCCACAGGTAATTGACACAGATGTCCGAGTTGGACAGTCTATAAAAACCACAAGTGCTCTCCACTGCAGCTAATGCACTGTAATGATGAAGGAGCTTTTAAAGACCAGACTGGTTTTAAAAAACAGACAAACGAATAAGCAAAATGGAGAAAACTGTTATAGACGTTGAACCTATACAGCTATGATATGGCAATGTTTGTTTTAATACTATTGCATAACTGTTGCACAATATCTGAGCTTATTTGTTTACATCACTATTTTATATCCAGTTCCCTACTCATATTTAGTGCAGAAGCTACTGTGTGCTCTGCATGTATTAGCTTACCTACCTGAGAATCCTGCTCTTTATTATCACAGCATAGAAACTTCTGAAAAATTGGATTAACTTTCTTCATAACAAAAAGAAATGTCAGGTTAAAAAGGTGTTTGGAACGATTACAGGCACATCAGACGATTGCCATAAAATGCACATCGTGATTCTAATTTACTTTCAGGTAGATGAGATTAATTCTTAATTGTTTAGTAAATTATGAATAATACTTCATAACAGCACTAATAGCTTGATAAGCTGCTCTCTTAAGGCTGATTTATACTCAAAAAAACAGGTTGTGTGTGTGTGTCGCAGTGAATGCAAATATGCCCCGCCCCCTCTGCTGACCCTATGCTGCATCTCTCAAAAATTGTAGGCGACCGCAGACAGGAGGCCTCTGACTGCTCAAATCTACATCCACTCTACTCTATGCATATTTCCTGTTTGGTACCTTAACCGGCTTGTTTTGTTTGTATGACCGCCATTGCAGAAAACGACTCGCGAAGATGGACCAGCTAGAAGAGCGAGGTGCGAGAACGCTGGGACCCTTTTTCCACCTGGATCTCCGCCCTTTTCCACCCTCATGCCCCTCCGTTGTCACACAACCTCGCCCCCACTTCCTCACCGCCTCAGCCGTATCTAGACCCAAAGCTAGTTCGGGATTGTCCCTCTTGCGTTGTGGCATAGAATAGCAAGGCGCGGACCACACTTCAATATTGGGCATAAATCAAAAATATCTGCAACAAGCTCACTGCGAGACACTGCTGCGGGAGGATAACCAGCCCTTAGACACTGTTCATTAAGGGAAACGCTCTAACGATTGCAAATACACCTTTACACTGGCATGCACAAAATACATTGATCAAAACAAATCTTTTTTACAAAAACTGCTTGATTCTACATTGAATTAAACAAAAATGGCTTTAGAATAAAATGCACACCTTGGAGAAGCTGATTCAGAGGCATTTACCTCAGGCTCCAAAAACCCCACAGAGTTCAAATTAACTTTTTTGGATATCAGTGCTTATTATTAGGGCTGAAGCAATTAATCAGATTAATCGATCACTGAAATAATCATCTACTAATTTCGTAATCGATTAATTGTTAACTGGAGTGTAGGGACTCCAACACGTATCTTGAGCTGACAGAGCGACCCCACCTGGAGCAACAATTATACCAAAAGTGTAAAAAGAAAAAATATGAACATTTTGCATTAAAGATAAAAATCTTTTTCTACTGTCATTATGCTCCATCCAGAATTGATCGTTTAATTGGAAAAATAATCAACAGAATCATCGATTTGCAAAATAATTGTTAGTTGCAGCTTTAACTGTTATGTCAACTATGGTGTTTACTTTATGATATTCAGGCCTCACTGCGCAGAAAAAAAAATGTTATTCAGTCTTTTGTGTTTTTAATTCAGTACTTTCTGCCTCTTCGAAAGCTTAAAAACGTCCGACCAAACCTGTTCTATCCCAGAATTTGTATTTGTCGTGTTTCACGTCTCCCAAGTTTTGAAAATCACCTGGCATTTTTAAAATACTGCAGTGTGAAACAGCCCGAAACTATAAAATGAGATGGTAGTGTTAATAACACACTCCAGTTCAGTACTCCATCTGTGCTGTATATTGTTTATTACCAGGGAACACTAGTGAACACATCCCACAGAACCGTGTTGGTTTGCGTGTGAATGAACCTTGGTGAGCCGCTCTTACCTTGCACCACTCCCCAGGGGTACTGTCTGGCCCTCACTGTTTTGTTCCCCACTTTGACCTCTTCCACGCTTCCAACCACAGCAAATGGAAGATGGGCCTGTGCAAAAAAAAAAAAAAAAGATTCAATGAGGTTTACTAAAAGTCTACAGGTTCAGCTGTAGCCTTTAAAATCATTTTTATTTTTTTCCATCCAGATTAAGACCATAGAAATGGTCATACATGAAAAAGTTCTACAATCTTTCAATAAGCGTTAAGCCTCAGATAAGGCTGTTTTTACACACTTCATAGGGAGTGACCATGTGAAAAACATGCTTGATACGCTGCCTCAAGAGTTGGATGGAGAGCTGAAATCAGCTGGTGGGTGTGGACACTGATGGAACAGATTATAAGTAGGAAAGGCGAGTACACAAAAAAGAAAACATAGGGAAATGGATATACTCTCTCATTTATGCATTTCAGCATAAGGATGTGCCGCAAAACTACATACACGCCATCATAGAAAAAGAAGAAAAACAGAAAATTGGTACAACAAAAGAAAAAAAAAAATGGTTTGAAAAGTTCATTTGCAGTATTTTCAATTCAGTTTATTTCTATAGCGCCAATTCACAGCACATGTCATCTCAAGGCACTTTACAGTTCAACCAGATCATCCAGTCAAATTGATTCAAAGTTCTCTATCTAAGGAAAACCAGTTGATTGCATTGACTCATTGACTTAAATGCAATCCCTCACACTTAGCATGCTTGTAGCGACAGTGGAGAGGAAAAACTCCCTTTTAACAGGAAGAAACCTCCAGCAGAACCAGGCTCAGTGTGAGCGGCAATCTGCTGAGGCCGACTGGGGTTCAAGGAGACATAAGCAGAGATACAAAAAGCAGCTGTAAAAGGCAGCCCTGTCCAGGAAACACACAGTCAGGCAGACGAGCTCCGAGCCAGAGGATGAAGAGAGCACATCCAGATGAGCTGTAAAGCCAGACTGAAACTCTTCAAAATGTTCATTATGGTGTAAGTGATCGCACGCTTGTTTGGCAACTACTTTCTCAAGAATTTTAGGTATGCGTTAATTATTTAAAAAAAAAATTTGCCCACACGCAAAAATATTATTTTTGTAGTCAAATGGACATTGTATTAAACTTTGTATTTTGTTAGTAGGGCTGAAACAATCGGATTTATCGATTATTGCATTAATTGTCAACTAATTGAGTAATCAATTAATTGTTAACTGGAGTATAGAGACCGTAAAACATGCCTTTAAACAGACTGAAACACTTAGAACAGTAATTATCCCAAGATTGTTAAAAAAAAAAAGAAAAAAAAAGAGAAATTATATATATATATTTTGCATTTAAGAATTTTTTTTAGATTTAGATTAATTTTGCATTTAAGATTTTTACTCAATGTGCTCTATCCAGAGCTCCTCAAGTGGAAAAGTTTGAGTTTCACCTGGTTTAATTTAATAAAAAATCTTATTTAAGGAACCTTCGGCTGTCCAATTATTAATCAATTAATTGATTTGCAAAATTATTAATAGTAAAATTTTATTGAAAGAAGTTAAGGGAAAAGGTAAAGAACACTTTGAAAGATACTCCACACATCTCGTGACATCTTACAGTGGAGGCAGTGTGATGGTGTGGGGGAGGAGCCAATCTCACAGTTAAAACATCAACTAACATCATTGAAATTTTCCCATTAAGGTGTTTCCATCTGAAAGAGAATCCAGAGGTAGTAGTGATCCTAGAGGAGACCATTATCCTGCAGGATGTCAACCTGAGAAGAGCAGGAAGAGCTCCAGGATCTAACAAGTTCTCCACCTCATGTCTGAGAACCTGAGAGCTTCATGTGTTTCTGGAGCTGTGTGGTGGTTTGTTCTGTTGTGCATATGATGCTCCACCATCGTCCCAATCCCAACAAATCTCCGTCATGGGTATAACTACTGCTCGTTGCCTGTAGTCATAAGTGTTTTCCTGACGGATCACCTGCATCTTCTCTCTTCTTTGGGTCAGTTTCTATTCTATCCTGTGATTGTCCATCTCTGTGAGGTTTGCCTTATTCAAACAACATAGATACGAACTATAATAATAAATACCTTTATATTGCTTAAAAAGAACGAAGCTAATGATGAACAAAAAAGGCTAATTATCTACATAAATGTGGTATAGTAGGATCATCCAATCACAAAGAAGCTTGAAACAAAGTGAAAACCAACAGAGGAACACTGTTCTGTGGGATCTTTGGGAGAAACTACTTTAATGTGTTACTCACCACTAATGGATAAACATCAAATTAATGGAAGCAAACACATTCTCTAAACGTCTTAAAGTAATATTTTGACTGACTGATTCAGTCTTTGTCATTTTTTGCGATATGGAAATAGTTTTAGCACATGATATAATCCCCATTACGAAAGCATAGCAATATTGGTGACTTACGTTCATCGAGGAGTTGATCTCACTGACAGCTTCGTCGTCTGTCGGGAACTGATAGATCTGGACGCCATTGCTCACCAGCTCACTCATTATCTTGATTTTGAATTTGTGAAGCTCGCTCTTGGAGATTGTGTCCGCTTTGGCAATAATGGGAATTATGTTGACCTAAAACAGGATCCAGACAGGAAGAGAATTATACTATGGAACACAGTTTTAGTTATTTACGTGAATCTAAGTGCTTCTATAATTTATGTCTGCATGAAGAAACTCAACATCCTCCATGATGATTGGATCCCCCTCTAAATATTTGCATAAATAAGTTTCTTTTAGGTATTTCTTTTATATCCAGTCTGTAAATGAAGTAAATCTAGTTTATTAACATAACTGTCATTGTCACAATAACAAGAACTGTTTATAAATCCAATAAAATATATACAGCATTAGCTATGTAACTTTTCAGGTTAATAATGTTAATAATAATAATAATAATAATAATACTCTTTTTAGAAACCTATGTCTTCCTGTATCTTTAAGGTATATATATATAATATGAAACAAGCAAACAAACCCATCAATTAAGGCAAAAATATTTCAAATAAATAACCCTTCATCACATCTTTCCCAAATGTGCATTGAAATAATTGATAAAATCTTTTAAAATGTTTAAAACGAGGCTGGAAAAGAGCAGAGTTCATCTCTCCTCCACAGACAGGGAGCAGGATGATAAAAATCATTAAGAAAAAAAAAGGTTAAGGGTTAAGAAAAAAGCCAAGTCGGGGTCACCAGGTCAACAGGAAAACATTCCAAGTCTTTTTTAAAGATGTTCACCTCGGGTAAATATAATCCTGCTGTGTATTTAACTATGACGCATATCAAACATGCAGCAAAGATAAACAGAAAAGGTTTGGTAAAAAGCGACAATTACAGCGAACTGCGATTATAAAAACAAACTGCATTCCATGAAGCATCAGCTACAGATGTGCAGGAATAAACAGCATCTGTCTGCATTCTTCTATACAGCAGCTTTCCTAAAAATCTATCTGGAATGATGTGAAGACCCCCACAGATCCACTCTAATCAGTCCCATAGTGAGCCTCTGAGAAAAAGACAGCGCTCATTAGGGCTCAAATTACAATCTCATCACACTTTATTGGATCATTAATCTGCAGCTGAGAACCCCAGCATCCTGTGTTAACCACTATTTAAAACAAAAAAAATAAATAAAAAAACATGTTCACTAATTGCTACCCAGCGCTGATAACAGCCCTGTGTGACGGCTGACACAGATAGAAGAGAAGATGGCCGAACACATAGATGGAAGAAGGAGGGGGCAGTTACGCTTATTCGCTTCCCACAGCCGGGTTTTCCCAGCTGAACAGAAAGATTTCCAAAATAGCTCAGTTTGCTGTGAACAAGCATGACCACCAGCTGGAAATACATTTCAGCTGCAGGAAAACCAACAGAAAAATAGCCTGAGTTGAAGTTTCTGACATTTTTTTATTCCAAAACATGAGTAATTATTTCCATTTTAACCTCCTTCATACAACAGAGTATTATTATGATACTTTCAGAGAATTAGCTTTTTATTCCTAGATTTTTAACATGAAACAACTTTCATGAAGGATGTCAATTTTCGTTTTAAAACTAACTTTATACCGAAAACACCTCTGGGAAATGCTTGTATATTACATGTAATATCTTAACCATGTCCGACAGCATTGGGAGTAAAAATAAATCGAGTTATTATCAAGTGTTATTTAGTCTTAAACATCATTAATCCACTTGATCTTGTAAACCAGTTTGCCTATTACAGTTAGATAATCGTATTTAAATAGCATAAAAAAATAATTGATTCCCTCAACTCTGAATTTTATATTAGGAAAATTATTAATTGAGCTATTTTTTATTGAAAACTATCAGAAGAATTGATAATTTTCTAACACACGCCCACTCTACAGGCTGTTAAACTAATCAGTTTTTTTTTCTGCTTAAATAAAAAAATATTTCAAGGTTTATGAAGAAAATTCTTTTTAAAAAACAGCTGCAATGTAGCTATTTCCTTATTTTCTTTGCTGCCATATATGGACGACATGAAAAACCAGCTATAATTGCTGAAAGTTAACCAAAGATTTATATCCTCCACTGACACATCAATATGAAATTATTACAGGAGGTCAGCGAGTCGGTGTGTTGGAGTGTTTCTCATGAGCCTCTAGAGGCGAAGGCATGACGCAGAAAAGAGCAGCAGGCTGAATAGTTGGAGGTGAATTAGATTTTAGTAGCTGTAGTGATGGCAGGAAAACAGAGACTGATGAAGGTAAAAGTATAGTAAAAAATGCTTTGAACTTCAAAAACGTACATAAGAGAAGAAATGGAAAAAAATGTAAACTGTTTAATATAATCAACATTAAAAATATCAAAATTCTCCAGCTTTTATTCTATCTGTATATCTTAAGATATACGAGACAAATCTGAACTTGAGCTCAGGTAATTTATTCCGTTCTCACAACATTTGGCTGCTTTCTCTGTGCTTATTTGTCAACAGAAGGTTGGTAAATGTTATGTGCCAGGATTTGATGGTTCCATTGGCAGTTAATGACAGCAGTGAAGCTCAGCGGTCAGCACTACTGATGCCCAATAAATTCTAAATGAGGATTTCTTCAGGTTTTTTTAAGTGAGAGCAGGTTAAATCTACGCTCTAAGCTCCCCTTGTGTAGTTAAGATGCAGAACAATGAAGAAATAAAAAAGAAAATACAATAAAAATGTTAATAGACAGTTTTTTTTAACTTACTAAATATTAATTTCCTTAACAGATAATTAGATTTCTGTTCCTTCAGAGTAGACTTTGCTTAAGGAAGCAGGCACAGCTATGAATAGTATCAGGAGGTATTTGGCAGACATGCATTGAATGTTGGCAGAGGTAAAGCAGCAGGTTTTAGTTACACCATCTCCATCTGGTTTTCTGGAGTTATTTGTGCATGGGCAGAAAAACGACCAGCACGAATACGGCCTCAGTCATTTCTGCAGCAGTGCTGTCAGCAGCCATAACAATGAAACAGTGTGAAGGAAAAATCTCAGAGCGAGACGCTCTGCATCCAACTAATGACCCAACAAATATTTGATTACCGAAACGATTATATGATTTGCATGCACTACTTTTAATTCCCACCAAAATATAAACTTTTCAGGAAAAAATACAGCTAAAAATATGTCAAATACAGTTGTGAGTTTTCTGTCATTTAAAATCAAACTGATATTCACTGATTTTAAATTAGGTTCTGCCTATTTTGAGGAGATTATTTGCAATAAATAGTGTGAAGGTAATAATGCCAGGGGTTGCACGTCTGGTCAGCTACACTGAGCACAGATGCAACAAGACAGATCGTCCACCAGCCAATACTGTGTCTAATAAAACTGGCACATGAGCAACGAACAAACCACAATCGATGCGAGTCTGACTGTGACTATTGACCAGCATACAGCTGAGTATTGACCTGCAAACATGTCAGTTCAAGCCATGTGAAAGTGGAACTTAAAGTTCATTAGAGGAGCTGCTATATGGATCATTTCTAAAAGGTACAAATAGCTTTTTTTTTTTAGGAGGAAACATGTTTTTATTATAGTCTAAAGAAAAGTGAAAAAAAACCTAGAGATGAACTGAGACTACAGCAGCAGATTTATGCTTCATAAATCTTGATTGTTGATTAATTGGCTGGTTGAAAAGACAAAAATCTAATGTTTTTTTAACCGTTCTCCAGGATTAACCCTCTTGGTTTGTTGTGATTAATGCTAATCTTGCTAGGATTGTTCCTAAATCTTGCTAAAGTTTGTTTTGCAAGCATCTTTATATTAGAACATCAATAAAATCTTTCATAACTGCAGGGCATTGATGCAGACTGCTCTCTGTCTCACACATTATTGCAACCCATCTGGTCCTTAACTAAAAAGAGGATTCATTATGACAGAAAGGCTTATTAAAGCCCTTAGATGTCGTCATATCAGAGCTTTCTTAGGTCTTAAAATGTAATCCACTGGTCATTTCTCTTTATATAGAAGATTATTCAGTATCTTATGATATAATACAATTTCAGGTTTTTAAACAAATGTTAAAAGTTAGCTAAAACCTGTCTTATTATAATAGTAAATTAAATGTGGAGTAATTAATCTTCTTAGCTGTTTATTTGTACAAAAAAGTTTCACACTAGAACTTGGAGGATTTTTTTTAAACTAGCTTATTTTAGTGATGCTGTACTTTGGTTTCATTTCAAGTATTAAGGGACTGCTGGTGAAGTTATCAGACAATTGTGAAGAATGCTAAGAGGGAAAATCTGTCTAATAGTATCCTAACTGTCACAAACTGCATGTTTTGTTGAGATGAATTGACTCTGCTCATAATGTGAAAAGGGCTGTTGTTACAGAGGCCTCTCCTAGATCTTGTAAAAAAAAAAAAAAAAAATGTCTTCACTTTTTCATTGATAAAGTCTCTTCTGCAAAGGCTCTCGTCTCCCCTGCTGCTTACATCCCGCCAAGCTCTGTCACTTGCTCTGCTGTTTTTGACCAGTTCAAGCCTGTGACTCTGTCCTTTCTAGAGGAGACTGTTGGTGGGTTGAGGCCCTCAGGTTCTCCAAATGATGCTGCCCCTCCTGGATTTATTACTATTATTATTCAATATATTATTTATTATTTAAAGAGGTCTTCCCTGCTGTTGGAACCCCTGTTCTTCCACGTATTAATAGCAGTCTGCCAGGTGTGGTCCCTGTATATTTTAAACATGCAGTTTTACAACCTCCAATTTAAAAAACCCAAATTCCGGCTGATCTCTGAAATGCCTCGAGAAGACAGTTTGCACTCAGTTAAAGGCCTTATTAAAAGAGGTTTTCCAATTTGGATTTTAGATCAATTAATTAATCGATGCACAACTCCGAAGCAGCTTTTGACTGTATTATTCCTGAGCTTTTAGATTAACCTGCTGCATTCGACACTGTGGAACACACAGTCTTGATCTCTCGTATGGAGCAGTGGGTGGGCATCAGGAATGCTTCAGGTCATGTTTGGCTGACCAAACTTTCTGGGTCGGCCTTAGTGACTATTTCTTCCTCTGCTCCTGTGTTTTGCGGGGTTCCCCAGGGCTCGGTCTTGGGTCCTCTCTTGTTCTCTCTCTATTTGCTCCTGCTCAGATCCATACTTAAAAAGAATTTTTATGCATGGATCCGAGCAGGATTGCTATACAGATCACAGTCATATTTATGTCCCTCTTAAAAAAGAAAGATGCCTTAATCAAGTGTCATGTCGACATACAGCTCTGGATGTCTCTGAACTTTTTAAACGTCAATGAAAAAATACTTAAAAGATGATGTTTGGTGGCACCACTGAAACAGATCTGGGCTTTTTGGCCCAGCATATCAAACCCACCATTACTAACCTGGGGGTAAAAGTGGACGCAGGTCTTAAGTTTGACAGCCAGATCAGGGCTGTTGGTAAATCAAGCTATTATCATTTGAGGCAGAAGGCCAAAATAAAGCCAATTCTTTCAAGGCAACAGCTTGAAATGGTAATCAACACCTTTGTTACCAATCAGCTGGATTACTGCAATGCCCTCTATGTGGGGGTTGGTGCCTCCTCCATCTCCTGTTTCCAGATGGTTCAAAATGCTGCAGGACACCTTTTAACTGGCACAAGCAAATATGAGTACATCTCCATTTTAGCTTCACTCCACTGGCTGCCCATATATTTTAAAATTCATTTTAAAATAATTGTATTTGCTTTTAATTTGAAAGGTCTTGGCCACCGTGCCTCTCTGAGCTTCTACATCCTTATACACCTACCAACTCTCACAGGTCAGCTGTTTCTGAGAGATACTCAAACTACGCCATTGCAGCTCCAAACCTCTGGAAAAACCCGCTTCAGCAGAACAGGCAGCCCTCTTCTCAGACTGCTTTTAAATCCCTTTTTTTAAAACCCACCTTTTCTCTGTGGATTTTGACACGTAGAAAGACAGTGGGCTTTATTTTATATTTATATTTTCTTCCTTTAATCTTTACCCCATTGTATTACTTTGGTTGTGTGAATGTTACTTTTACTCATGTGTTTATTTATTTGTCTGTACAGCTATTTGGTCAGCTGTAGTTGTTTTATTAGAACTTAAAACTGGGTTGGATTCTTTTAAAGGAGCCTTTTAGTTCTTACTTGTTTCCATGAGCATAATATGTGATCTTTTCAAAGTGTTTGTTTTCAAGAAGAGTAACAGAAACAACGGGAGTTACCTCCAAAATCCTTGGAGGTAACTCTATATGAACGAGTGGAAACTTTAGTCATTTCTCTTTCAGAAAAAAGCATCATCAATCTGACATAAACAGACCAGGAATCCCAGGTCATTGAAATAAACGCCATTCAAAGTGAGAGGTTTGGGTTTCAGGTAAGCATGGCTGGAGGGTAAGTGGGTGTGTGTCCCCTGCGTATACCTTGCTGTCCAGTTTCTTCATTGTGACGAGGTCCAGGGACTTAAGGGAGTGTCCCGTTGGGGCGATGAAATAAAGGCAGATGTGGATCCTGGTGTCGTGGTAGTTAAACAAAGAGCGTTTGATCTTCAGCTCTTCCTGGAGATAGTTTTCAAACTGGGTGTCAATGTAGTCCACAATTGGCTTGTAACTGTGGACAGAGCCAAAAAAAAAAAAACTGGAATTATGCCTTCCTGCTAAAACAAAATATTTTTCTTTCCATTCATATGTTAGTAATGAATATGTAGGAAAATTTGAACATGTAGCTGAATAAACGAACCAAGAGAATTATGCTTTCATTGCTGGATTTTCTGATCCTATGCCAAGATCCCAGCTTAGAGTTGCACAGCTCAACTCTGATGAAAATGAATTTACAAACATCTCACTGAAACACTACAAATCACCCTGCCATCTCACTCTGGGATGTAAAATATGAACTATTCAGTTTCATGATGTTTTCTCATGAGAAGTTGAAACCTGCAGCTAAAAAAAAATCAAACCTATTCCTGTTGTCGAAAACTCTAGAAATAAAATTAGAATAAAGAACAGACTAAATGCAACATAAAAAAAAAATTTAAGTTGTTAAAACATGTAAAATGGAACTATCAGTTCAGTAGTTCATGATGGCTAAATATACATCGTCTTGAACACATGGATCAAAAGAACTGATTGGCTCCATAAAAAGATGTTGGCAATGCAGCTGCACCATTTATCTGCAAGCTAATTTCACTAAGTTTTACTTCAACTTCTACAGAAAGATGAAAAATAAATAGCGTTTTTACCGTACAATGGAGCGCATCTCACTATAAGCCGCGCCTACTAGATTTTTTGAAAAAAAAAATTAATAAATAAAATGGAAATGTACATATATAAGCCGCTCCAGGCTATAAGCTGCTGATATCAACTGAACCGTCTCCAAACCATACCTGTAAAGGAGCTATACATATGGCCCCTTGATTAGGAACAAAGAAGAACGCTAGCTCCCGTTAGCTTGCTGGCTCGAAGCAGTAAGAGCTCCAAATGAAAGATGGGGCTTCATCAGCTCTTTATTTCTGCTCTGCAGGAGTTGAGCACAGTCTCCTCATTGGTCTGACATCTTTAATGCGGCAAATAGATGTCAAAATGTGTTATTTCGAGACATTTGACCTCCGTTGTGCCTGCTACTAGAATGTTTTTTTGTTAAAAATAAAAATTAGACACTTATTTTTTCCCCCTCTTGCAGTTAGGAAAAATCCACAGAGAAGCTGCGCCTGCGTATAAGCCGCATGGTTCCAAGCATAGGGGGGGGAAAATAAGCGGCTTACTGTATAGTCTAGAAAATACGGTAGTTTTGTATAGTATATATGCAAAATGATAAAAGATACATAAATATAAAAAATAAAACACTTAAGATTTTCAAAGCTTTGTACAGTTTGTATTATAAAGGTAATAATTTCTGTCAAAAGATGCATCCAGGAAACAAATAGTATAAAAACATAAGATTAAGGATCGGAGTAAATAACTATTCTAACTGAATAATAGAAGTCCAAGACTGAACTACTTGATAGAAGAAAAAAAAAAGTGAGTATCCCTAAATACAATTAATGAAATAGCTTTATTGCAAGATATAACTTATTAGTTTCTTGATTGTATTAATAAAATGTATTTCCTGGTTTATTTCTATCAGCCTTTGAAATTCTATTCTGTATAAAGATTAAACCTTTAATATTCAACAGTCGCCTTAAAATATGGAAGTTATGCGACATTGGAATTTTAAGTGGTGAATTTTTCTTTTCTTTTTGTATTAAAGAGTTTAAAAAAAAACATGAGTGTCATGCTTTAATGAATCTGTAAATTGCATTAAGCAGTGATGATGAATAAACCATCGCCTATCCCTTTCAGCAAAAAGATGTCCCACATCAGTGATATTTTACTGCTCGCAGGGAGACATGGGTTAAAAAACTTTTCATCTCCTCTTTATGACCATCTGTCCACAATCTTCACATCTCTCTTCAATCTTCTCTATGGTATGCGCATGCTTTGACCTTTTGAAGCTTTCAGTGTTCATTTCCAGCCTGCTTCAGGGTCTGTCCTTCAGCATGTTGGTTCTTAAGGCCTAGAGCTGCTATCAAAGAGCGTGAGAGTACAGCTTACTGGCTGAACCGAGGCTAGGACGCTTCATTCCACAGCTGAATGTTTACAAAAAAATAAACTACTTCCTCTTTTTTTCCTCCCCCCACCTCCTCCCCTTTAAATCCCACAGAGAAAAGAAATATGTGTGTGGAATTTAGGAGTGAAATGCTCTTTTTCTCCCTTTGGTATCCACTCCAACATTTGCACCATGAGGTTTTTTTACAGAGAGTTTTAGAGACAATAAAAGATTTTGACACATCTACATCAGGTACAGCCTACCTGTCCTCCTTGTTTATCTGGTCACCAAAACCGACAGTGTCGACGATCGTTAGCTTGAGGTGGACGTTGCTCTCCTGCAGGTCGTAGGTTCGCGGTCGCAGATACACGCCGTTTTGGTAGTGGCTCGCCTCTTCGTTTTCAAACATGGTGTTAAAGAGAGTGTTCATCAGTGTTGATTTGCCAATGCCAGTTTCTCCTATAAACCAAAAAAAAAAAAGGAGGAAAAAGAAATTTAGGAAACAGATCGCAATAATTTAATCATCCAGTGTGAGTTTGGGGTCTCTGGTAAACCTGAATACGTTCAAAATAAACTGTTAAACCCAATTTAGTTATACATCAGTTCTTGTCAAGGTGTTGTCGGGGTATTAAAAAGCCCCTGGTTGGGTCTCCCAAGGCAAACGGGCTCTGGGGGTGGTGGTTGACTGGAGCCTGGTGTTCAGGTCCGAAGGAGACTGAGCTTGTGCAGGAAGGGAAGCGGTACCAGTTACCAGCTCACACATAGCCTGGGCTTTGGAACCCAGCTCCTTGAGGGAGGCTGGACTCTCTTCTACTCTGGAGTGGCCAATGGGGAGAAACGCAGGGGGGTTTGGGCTGCATGCCTTCCCATAGCTTAGCCATCTTATGTCGGAGTTTACCCCGGTGGACGAGAGGGTTGCATCCCTTCGCATCTGGGCTGGGGTTCCAAAATCCAAAACTGTTGTTTCCCTTACAACCCTGCTCTGAACCCGCAATCCCAAACTGTTGTTTGGGATTGTGGGACGAAGGGCAGCACAGAGTACCAGACCTTCTTAGTGCCTCTGGGAGGGGATGTTCTATAGGCTCAGTGGTATTTCATTATTGGACCTTTATGCAACTCCCGGATTGTCTATAGTAAACACCACATTCAAGTATGAGGATGTCGGTGGCACCAGGACACCCTAGGTCAGAGGTCAATGATGTATCGGTGAAGAGAAGGACGGAGTTGTGCACCTATCACCACCTGGTGTTGAAATGGATGTCTGCAAGAGAAGAAAGCTGGACAGACTCAGCAGGACCAAGCAGGTAGTGAGGGTCTGCTGGGAACATCTGGTGGAGCCCTAGGTCAGGGAAATTCAATTTGCACCAGCAGGAGA